CATGGCTAAAAAAAGCACAAATACTGTCATTACTACTGATAGGGCCATCGTTAAATTAAGTCAGAGCCCAAAATATAGCATAATTCCAAATTATTATAACATAATACATAGCCTACTGATTAATAATAGCTGAGATGCACATTTCAGAATTAATAATCGTTTACCTGTAGTACGTCTTACTGTACTTAGGCCTAGGCCTACACTAGTTTGTTGTCGTCAGGGTATAATTCTGTATCTAAATGAACGAGGAGCGAACCTAGCTAGTCAACATCTAGGCTAGGCTAATTAATTTTAAAATCAATAACCCACCAGGACTTTCTGTCGTTTTCTTCTTTGCAAGAGCGGACGAAAAAAAGTCAGTTATTCTACAACGTTCCATGATTCTTTATTACTAAAAATTAACAAACACTCGTTTTGACGCACTCCGTTCTGTAGTGTAGTGCTATGATGACTGAGATGGATATATGTTGATTTATTAATAATATTTTGTTTGGGATGAAAAAAAGGAGAGTCCATTCCCCCAAAATGCTCCATCAACACATAGTTTAGTGTGTGCTATGGACAGTATGGCTATGGAATTTACTAACCACACAATCTACAATTAGGTGATTAAGTCGCAAAACTTTATCTGCATTTGGTGGATTAAGTCGCAAAACGTTAGCTTCGTTTGGTGGCACCATTTACTCTAGGTAGACGGCGACCGGTTTCGTTACCGGTTGGTACATTTCTTACAAACATTCAGCCAAAGGCCAGTGAAAGTTGAGACGGCAGCTGGGTTTTTATCGATGTTTGCCATCCTTATGTGTGCCATCGTAAAGTCATGGTTTGTTGGAATTGCGTTTTAATTTAAATCTCCGAACTTCTGAAGCTGAGACATTCTATGAATGTAGGCTTGTATTGCAGGCTACAATTTAAAAACGGATGGGACTCATTCAAAAAGTCGAGGGGGTTCGCTAGAAAACAGGGGGGTTCGCTAGAAAAGGGGGGTTCGCCCGAACCATAACCCCCCCCCCCCTGGCTACGGGCCTGTCATACCATTAGACCTTACGGTATATGCGTAGATCTAACTTCCAGGCAGCACTTTCTCTCATACCACTGACTGAAACGCTCACAGTGGAGCTAAAGTTAAACTAGAAAGGCTTATAGGTCGCAGTTTGGAAAGCGTACGGTATATTGTAATTCTATCGTGGATAATTATATATATATATATTTTTAATGTGATGTCGGGATGTAGTTTAACCAGTTATAAGTAGTGAATATGTGCCGATGTCTTAGTAACGTTCTGGATATTGTCTGATTTAAAGACCGGGTAATAACGCACACGTACGAAATGTCCAATCCATCCAGTGCGCCATTAATATTCCCATTTGAGCTCTAAAATTAAGTGTAGTCATTCTCGTAGAACAGTTGTCTGTTACAAGATAGCATTTTAAACACTTTTCTTCACATCGCTAACTCCTGGCTTCTTATTAATAATATGCCAGTGCACGACATATGACGATACATTCAAAACATTATTATTTAGGTATCTGTCATAATCATGTTGGCTATAAGTGGGACAATGTTACGAGATGTCGTCACCGTGCAAACATCACGGAGTGATCTCTTGCTATAGCAGGTGCTTTGAAAATCGCCCAGACATGCATGCTACGAAGAAAATTAACATTCAAATGTTTTAGATTTAGGTGGCGGTCTTTAATACTTATTTTTAAAGAACTGTATTTCACATATTAATAAATCTTTCAACGCAATATAGTAGGTCAAACCAATCTTGTAATAATGTGTAATGTTATTATGTGTGCTATAAAGTTAGCAACAGTATACTGCCCTCTATTGATAATATTTTGTAACTGTCATTCCAGATAATGACTTGAGCAAGATTCACCATGTTTTTTTCTTTCGTTTCATCTGGAATGATAATCTGTGATCAATAGATTGAGAACAATAATAAAGCTCCCTCTTTTTCCTATTTGTATGATTTTCTATGTCAATGTGATATGGCATTAATTATGGTGATATATATGTAATAATAATACCATTTCCTTTTTATTTTCTTTTTGTACATATAGCATTGGAGTGATATGAAATTAAAATGGAACCCTGTCGATTACGATGGGATTGAAATTCTCCGCATCCCAGCCACTGAGATTTGGATGCCCGATATCACTCTATACAACAAGTAGGTGTTTTATTATTAATTCGGGCGTGTAGCACAGAGGTTGGGATACTTTTTCTCAATCTTGTTGGGTTCGATCCCTTGCTTAGACTTGCCACAAGTCCCCTGTTAATTTTTTCCTCATTTTGGACATGTGGTGTATGTTTGTGTTTTTCCCCAGAGAGCAAATGATGTTAACGTTGTACATTTGTGCCGATTTGTTTATCTATCTATTGCATACATCCCATTCTATAAAACGTTTACTATTTGGTTGATCGCTGCCTATGTGGACACATCTTCCGCCGAATCCACTAAAGGACACCAGCTTCTCATTAACAGTCATTACACTTAATTCTGTCACTCGCGATTATGAAAATTTAGATATAAGCTTACTTACTAAGCTTAGTAGCAGGAGTATAAAGAAATTTATCATTGTCTACTTTGTGTAGCAATTTTATGAAAATACGGACTTTGTTTACTTTTGCGTTTTAAAGTGTGTGTACTCCTTCAGCATTAAAAAAAATAGAACATTATATAAAATATCTTATTTTTTATTTTGAGGATTGTATATTTACTTACGCTAATTATTCATAGTTTTGTTTACTTTTGTACTTGATATTAGTTTACTAACTTATACCGCCTTATTTTTATTTCGCAGTGCTGATTCTGCGGACTACGTTTCGACCAGTCGAGGTTCCAATGCACTAATCTACTTCAATGGTAATGTGTCACTTTGGTCAAAACCGACCTTAGTTCGCAGTGTCTGTAAGATCAACATCAAATACTTCCCTTTCGATATGCAACAATGTGACATGAAATTCGGTTCATGGACTTACACTAGCTTTCAAATGAACCTGCACAAATTTAAGGTAAAACCGGATTTATCTGGTTTTATCCAGAACGAACAGTGGACGTTGGTGTATGCCATCGCACGTCGAAACATCGTCTCGTATCCCTGCTGTCCAGAGTCATATCATGACGTAACTTTCTTTTTCGGTCTGAGGCGAAAGCCTCTATACTACATATATAACTTATTAATGCCGTGTATGCTTCTGTCGAGTTTGTCGTTGCTAGGGTTCTGCATGCCGTACGCAGTGGGAGTTGTTAAAGTGTCACTCAGTGTGACGCTCATCCTGTCGTTAACCGTTTTCTTGTTACTGGTGGCGGAAATGATGCCTCGTACTTCAGAAATTGTTCCTGTCATAAGTAAGTATTTTGTAACTTCAGGCATAAAATATCGCATACAGATCATATAAATCGCTGCACAATGTAAACCATTGACAATAATAAATGAAATGCTCAAAATACAGTTTAATTTCGACGATGATGGAGGCAAGATTTTCTTTAGCAAATTCTGATGCTGATTTTTATGGTGTAAACGAAGATGGTATTAAAGGAAGTTTAATAAAAACACATGTTACAATTTACCGGTTTCCATGCCTATTTAAGATGCACGCATTTACCAAATTTTATCACGCTTCGTTAAAAGGCCAACTCAAGCTACGTCGCACGACGCAGCCCTACGCGATTTATCATCGTCCCGTCGTGCCAGACGCGATTGATTGTCGGAAGACTGCGTCGAGGACAGTCACGCGACCTACTGTACTCGACGATAATCGTGTCAGGCTGTGTCGTACGATGCTATCTGAGTCGGCTTGATGGCATGGATTCGAACAATTTCTCTGTCCATAAAAGCGTAAAAAATAGAAAAATTACCTACAATCTTTACGTAAGACGTTGTGATTCCGTAAACTCCCCAATTATTGGGATAACAATGATACTGATGATGTTTTGATGATGATGACAAATACAATAATAATTATTATTATTATTGATGATCATGATTTAAACGTTTATGATAACTTGATTATTCCCCGCCGTTTTGTTGACGGAGACGCAGGAAGTGACAATAGCACTGACAAAGATTTTCATCTTTTTTAAAAATCTTTTTGCTTTAGTTTTTAGAAATGCAACAATTTTTTTAAAATTTTACAATAATATAATAATTGATATATTTCTTTTACTTAGGTCAATACTACGCAGCGACAATGTTTCTAATTGCTTTCTCTACGGCCATGAACGTGGTAGTTCTTAACATAAATGGGCGTGGTAATGGATCAGCTCCAGTACCACACTGGCTAAAAATGGTTGTTGTTGACTGTTTAGGCTCAGCATTGTGCATCGCTCGTAATCCACTGGAATGCCATAAAAAGAATTCACAAATTCCATCCGAATCTGACTTTCGGAATACATACGTAGAGCATCATCGAGGAGGCACAAGCCAAATCGTAAAACGTGATGGCAGTGCACACAGTATGGGTAGGAACATTAGATTCGGTAACTTAGTCCCAGAACATGAAATTCTACTAGAAGACAAGAACGGAAGTCCTGGGGGTCGAGGCCATTTCGGAGGTGTCGGAGGGGAAGAGCATGGAGACCATCGCCTGATTAAACTGGAGAGATCAGTCGATAGTATCTTAAAACATCTTAAAAATTCTCAAAGAAAGAAAGACAAGGGCACTCATTTGCGACAGGAATGGGGAGCAGTTGCCAGAGTTCTCGATCGTTTTCTTCTGCTACTTTTCCTTACTAGCTCAGTTGTTACTTCAGTAATCCTCCTTTCGCAGAAAGTACCGGACAAGCAGCCACCCTCATCAAACGACACGTATGTCGAAGACCCAGAATAAGGACGTTACTCGTGATCTTGTGAGAGTAGAGTGCGTTAGCGTCAGGATCGTTACACGGATGACAAAAGTGCCAAATTTTGTAATGATATTAGTATGGGCATACAGTTTTGAAAAATCTCTGGAGCAAAAAAAAAAATCCATTTTTTTAATATAAAAATCGAATTTTTGGGAAAAATATTGTGGTGATTTTTTTTAAAACTATTACAATGCAAGGCCTACCTGTATAAACATGTTTAGAATCTATTTAGTCAGAAATCAGCAAATAAAAAATATAGTGTTTAACCTTGTGCATTTTGATGAGCTTACGGCAGACTCTAGCTGCTTTCTGGTTGGGTCATCCAAACAGGCCTTCATTAAAGGTCATGTAAAACCCTTATGTCAGATTATGACATATCTTTGACAAGTGAGGTGTAGTTTTACGTACAGATCATATTCAGTTACACTTTAATTTTCAATAAAGCTGTATTTTAACGAAAACAATGGTTTTAGCCCAAAATTTGTCAAAAATTTGAATTTTTTAAAACTCTTATATCAGATTCTGACATAATTAGTGATATTGAGATATAATATTGGTTAAAATGTATTTTACATGCTGAGCATCTGTTATAGTTAAAATGTCAGCAGATCTCTACTTTGTTACCAAAAATTATGATTTTAGCCCAAAAATGGCCAAAAATTGGGATTTTTTAAGAAAACCTTATATCAGATTCTGACATATTATTGACCAGTCAGGTATAGTATTGGTTAAAATGTATTTTACATGCAGAGCATCTGTTATAGTTAAATGTTGATAAAAAATATGAAAGCTCTGTCATCCGTGTAACGATTCTTGCATATTTTTACGTTAAGGCACTCGGGTGAACCCACGCATGCATTTGAAGATCTTATCTTCTATGTAGACTAAATTGGATGACACTCGATGATCATTCTTTTTCCGAAATTGCGATGGACTTCGATATAAACATTGATACACTATGCATTTTTAAACTACGGACAATACGAATGCTAAAATGTTAACCCTCCATGCGCTGGAGACATATGTGATATTGCAAGTACAATATTTGTTTTTTGTTTTTGTTTTTTAATATATTTCATGTTAATAATGTGTCTATAATTGAAGATATGGTCAGTAGAACAAAGTGTTTGTACTGTATACTATAAATAATTTAGAGGTAAACAGGTTCATGTTTTCAAACAATTGGGAATTTGTAGGAACTTGTAACATCCATTAGAGTCAAACATGTTGATCGCAATTAAACTATGTATGCATAATCAAATTATATTCATTATATTCATGATCTAAAGGCAATGGGACTAGAGTGTGTGAAAATGCATAAGTGAGCATGGCACGTTTAGGTGGGCTGCGTAAATTTAATAATAATAATAATTATTATTATTATTATTATTATTAATAATAATAATAGTAATAATAATAATTCTCGCCAGAGGGCATGCATCCCGGGACCATTACGTCTAGCTTATGAACCTAATTTTTAGTTTTAGGCAGTGTGCTCACATTGAACTGAAAAACAGTATTATTGATCAAAGTCATTGTTTAAAAAACTACGTGAAAACAAGTAATATTGCTGTGATTAGGGCATATATTGGGAAAAGACATTCTGCAGGCTTACATAGACCTAAAGTAGCCCGGTGACTTTGAGTGGCATAGGCTGATAGGTACATTTTAAATATCGGCAGTTAGGCAAAATCAGACTCTTTATTTTGCCATCGTTGCTGTTTTTGTTTTGCTAAAAAAATAACAATATTGCTAGATTACCAGGTACATTCTGTTTAGAACGGGGTTCGTGTTTAGCTGGAGGCTGCAGGGTAAACCCACCAGAGACAACTGGAAAATTTCGTTTTTGTTCT